GTGGAAACAGTACTTTTTAAAAAATACCACTTCCCTGTGATGACAGGCTGACACAGTTGCTCCAATATGCTCCAGTATGAGACGCATACTGTATGGTAATGTAATTCTTGAAAACAATGTTAAAAAGCAAAACTAACACATTAATTTTATATTAAATATCACTCACCTTCTGCCTCTGTAAGGACAGGCTAGCCACTTGAAGTCTTGCACATGACGTTCTACACAATGAATACTTAGGCAATATGACGATGCCACAAAAATCTCATGCAGTTCCTGCCATACAATTACTAGGTTTTCACATGAAGATACAACATACACAACAGTTAAGTTTATTAACAGCATGCCCTACTGATTAGTTACTATTAAGTGGAAGCATCATAAAGGTCTTCATCCTCACCCTCACGTTGACAGGGGAGCAGGGGGAGGGGCTGATCTCAGGTCTCGGGGGCGGCAGAGGAGGGACAACGAGGCGGGGGGGGCAGGTGCACTCAGCGCCAACTTTATGGAAATACACTGTCATTTCTGATTTTGCTTTTCCGTTTCTCTAAAAATATTTCTATTTGGTATCAAGGCTCCTTCCACCATCTGCTTTAGTTTCAGTGCCTGTATCACAAAAGGTCGTCTTGAATAAGCAGAACCCTTCTGCTACATTGTTGAATGTCAATTTGTCTTCTGGCGCTGCTGCTTCTACATCTCCTTCCTCATGGTCTGGCACTGGTTCGGAAGCACTCCTCTCCCTCAGATCTTTCATTAATTCCTCTCGCGTGGTGTCTTTTAGCTCTTTAATTTCTCCAGGATCCATCTGTTGAAACTCTTCACACACACACTTTTGCCACATCCACAATCTCTCATTATTTCCTTGATTGACTGTCCTAAGTCCTGTGAAGTCATATGCAACAGGTAGACACAATTTTCTCCAGTAGGAATTTATTCTTTTGGGTTTCATGGCTTTCACAGCTTTTTCTGTAACAGTGATGCCATCCATCTTCAGTGGTATAACCCTTCAAGCCTTTCATGATGTTCTGTTGGGGTTCTCTTCCATGGTGTTGACAATGCTTTCCATTCAGTACAGTGTGTAATGAGCCTTAGAAGTCCCTTGGGATGCCCAGGTGGCTCAGTGGGTCAAGCGTCTGCCTTCGGTTCAGGTCATGATCTCAGGGTCCTGGGATCGAGCCCCACATCGTGCTCCCTGCTGAGCGGGGAGCCTGCTTCTCCCTCTCTCTCTGCTGCCCTCCCTGCTATTCAGCATATCTCGCTCTCTGACAAATAAAATCTTTAAAAAAAAAAAAAATGTCCCTACAGGCTGAATTAGAGACACTGTGTTTGGAGGCAAGACCACTTTTATGTCTTTGGTGCTGAACTCATGGGGTCTTATGGTGGTGAAGGCATTGTCCAATATCAAAAGAACTTTAAAAGGCAGTCCCTCATTGGCAAGGGACTTCCTGACTTCAGGGACAAAGCATGAGTGGAACCAATCCAAAAAGAGTTCTCATTGTCCAAACCTTCTTGTTGCACAACCGGAAGACTGGCTGCTATTTATCTTTTCCCTTGATTGGGGATTAGCAGCTTTATAGAGAAGGGCAATCCTTATCATAAATCCAACTACATTTGCACAAAAAGTGGAATTAGCTTATCTCTTTCTGTCTTCAATCCTGGTGCTCACTTTTCTTCCTATTAAATGTCTTTTAATGGCATTTCCCCCCCAAGAAGAGGGGACTTTCATCTGCATTAAAAACCTGTTCAGGCAGATATCCTTTCTCATCGATTATTTTCTTAATGACGTCTGGGAACTCATCTGCTGCCTCTTGGTCATCAGAAGTGTTCTGTTATCTTGACATTTTTTAAGCCAAACCACTTCCTAAAATTATCAAACCATCCTTTCCTGCCATTAAATTCTCCAGCTTTGGATCCTTCATTTTCTTTTTGCTTTGACATATAATAACTTCAGGTTTTCTCATATTAGTCTATAGGTATGCCTTTCTTACAGCAATTCTGCACCCACATAAAAGCTGCATTTTTAATACAAGATGAAAAGGTGTTTTGCAAGGTTTTCATGTCTGCTGATGTAGCTACAATGGCTTCACATCTTTTTTTTTTTTTTTTCCAATGGTCCATATACTGGATTAATTTACCTTGAAATGGTTGCTACTGCAGCTTCAGATCTCAATCTACGGTACATTACCAAGCAATTCTACTTTTTTTTCTTTGCTTCTTGGGAGAAATTCCAGCATATCTAGTGGCACTTTGTATGGGTCCCATGGTGTTACTCAAGGTTTATGGTATTGCACTAAACATGAAAAATACATGAGAACTGCAAGATCACTTTTTACTGCCATATGCAATTTACTGGAAAGATGAACTGCTCGTGATGATTAGTGTCACAGAGCATTTTAAGAGGATACTTTCAACACTTGAGCTTACTGCAATAGGAACAGGTATATATGAAAAATTACTATAGCAATACACTATGTACTAAAGTAAATTTTATGCAGTTATGATTTTATACTGCATCTTTACATTTGTTTACATTTCTCTTGACTACAAATGGCACCATGTATGGTTGTGTGTGCGACTAAGTTTTGATAAATTTTAACTTACAATAGATTTGTGTATATTTGATGGTAGCAAATGATAAAATAGACTATCTACATATATTTTATGCATTCATCAGATACCTTTCATAATTTTTTTTATAATTTTAAGCTATGCAGTTCATCTGTGAGATTTTTCAAACCGTCAAAAATCTTTAAAAATTTTTCCAGTATTTATTGAAAAAAACCTGTGTTGTTCAAGGGTTAATTGCATTATAACTTTATAAGCTAAAATGAATTACATGGGACCATTTCCTAAGATTGAAAACTTTTGGCTTTCTTAAGGCATGAATAAACTTAACTAACAAAATATAAAGGAGATAACAAGTGTTTGCTTCCAGTTTTTTAAGTTAAGCTATTTTAATTCAGTAGTCACTTACCGGGCAGCACTATTCCCTTCATCTTACCAATAAGAAAACTGAAGCTCAGAAAGGTGACTTCTTTGCTCAAGATCCCATGACCTGAGCTTTGCAAATTGTGGCCCTAAATTCAAGGCTTTTTCTGCACCTCCTCTGAATTATCCCAATGATCTCAAAAATAACTTTGGAGAAAAATAACATGGAGAAGACTCCATGAGAGTCATCTATAAAACATAATGACTTAGCAAAACTAATCCATACTAGTGTACAAAATCAAACAAGGAGTATATGGAGGTGAATTCTCAGTTTGAGGAAGATGCGAACTGCAGAAAAGACGAGTATTTTATTTCTACAAAACCAGCAATTTGGAGATACTTATTAAAGGGAGTTAGAAACAATGCCTTAAAGACTCTAGTCTCATCTCTGTGTTAAGATACCAAACCAACCCAAAGGCATATAAACAAAAGCTGTACTGGGACGCCTGGGTGGCTCAGTCGGTTAAGTCTCTGCCTTTGGCTCAGGTCATGATCCCAGGGTCCTAGGATCGAGTCCCGCATTGGTCTCCCTGCTCAGCGGGGAGTCTGCTTCTCCCTCCTTGCTGCCCAGCCTGCTTGTGCTCTGACAAATATTAATAAAATCTTAAAAAAACAAAAGCTGTATCTAAAGCAGTATTTTTCAAATCATTTTGATTCCGATTCACAAGATTTTACTTTACAACCTAATGTGTATCTATGTCTAGCAAAAGTTTTACACACAAATACTCTACGTATGAATACTTTTTTCCTATTCTGCTTCATTAAAAAAAACAAAATATTGGCTAGACCCATTACATTCATTTCAAGACCCAGTTTGAAAAACACTAAACCAAAGAGATACAAAGGCTATTTGTATTATCGCACCATGCTCTAGAAGCTTAAAATAAATTTATTTTAAAAGCACATCTTATCTTAGCAAGGAAAACAACTGATATTGATATATTGGCAGGGAACTGCTATGAAGAGGATACTGTATCTCACACCCAACCACTGAAAAGCAATTGAAGGAGAAAAGATTATAGACCTAAAAAGTTTTGTGTGTGTGGTATATTTAATGAATCAAAGAAAAAAAATCAAATAAATGGGAGAAGAGAGGAACACCCAACTTGAGACCTAAATTTTCTCCTCTTGGGGTGACTTGGTGGCGCAGTCGGTTAAGCAACCGACTCTTGGTTTCAGATAGTGATCTCAGGGTCATGAGATCTCTCCCTCTCCCTCTGCCCCCTCTCCATGCTTGCTAGCTCTCTCTTGCTCTAAAATAAATAAATCTTTAAAAAAAATAAATTTTCTCCTTTCAAACTCTTTAAAGTTGGAGGGGAAAGACTAAGAGAAAAAAAAATGGAAGATTTGGAACCAATTTGAGATTTTCTTTGCATTTGATATGCTATGTTACATTGTAATGTAAATATACATTCATTAGCTATCCCCAAATTCTAGTTAATTTTTCCCCCACAAATAGTTTTTAGAATTTCTTACAATGTAATTTGATGACCACTTTTTATGACTGACTGCTGTCGTGACTTTTACTTTCTGTTATATATACACCGTATGCAACCTTCATTGGGGGCATATCTAACTAGTTCTGTGCATACTGACTAAACCCCTGAGCCTAAACGACTACCTTGCATGTATAAACCACTGTATATATGGAAGAACATGGCTGATTTAGAAGAAGTGAATTACCAAACAAAAGGAAAAAATCCTCTATGTGTACCTCAGGATAAAATTAAATGACTGTACCAGCTAAATGTCTAACTATGAAGTAATGAATTACTTATAAACATGTATTATCTTTCAGTGTGTTTATCACTTACCACAAGGTACTTTAAGTTCCAGAACAAGTAAAGAGAAGTAACAACTGACAATATTATATATCCTGCTACTTAGACACACTCATTTTTCTATACATTTGTGAAAAGGAATATACTATTTATAAGTTATTTCAGGCTAGGGTGTCTGAAAAGAAAATGTGAAAAGAGGCAACAGCATTCATAAAAGTACACGAGAAAAAAAACTCTCAAGAAGAACAGACTTTATTTTTAACATAAAAGTTCTATTTTCTTGTGAGGCAGCAATAAGTGTCAGTGTCAGATACAGGGAATACATAAGTACATAATAACAATATTTATCACCATTGGAAATGCTGTTTTTTGGGAGATTTTTGTTAGAAAAACAAAATTTTTAAAAATTGCATCTTAAAAAGATTTACACAGCTTAAACAGAGATGAAAGATACAGACTTCAAAAAAAACATAAATTATATTCAACAGGATTGTATAAACAAAATATTGTTCAGGGCTGCTCTGCTTATCATTAATTTAAGCAGAGCAAAACTTAAACCTTAAAGTGCGAAGTATTCTTAGCTTTTTTTAATGCAAATTCAGCACTTCCACTGGTCCGGTTTTGAGACATCAAAATTCCAAGCATTAAGGAATGAATCTTAAGTTTAGAATAGTAAACTGAATTCAGTAATGGCAATTTTTCTTTTATTTCCTTTAACAGAAGAAAATCCTGACAACCCAGTCCTAATCTCGGACATACAGAAGGCTATAAATTCTGCCCTTTTTTAAAATATCTCTTTTCCAGTAAAAGCCAACCATTAAAAAGAAAAAAAAGGGGGGGGAACGCCTTTCTTGTTGCCAGTTACTCCACAGTTAGCAGTAGCACCTTCTAAAAGGCTGATTTGGCTTAAGTAGTAAGAAATATTTTAAACAAAATGAAGACTCTAGTTCAAAAATAATTTTGGCATCCATGCTCATCGTATTAACCAAAGAGGCAGAACAGGTATTTTAAAAATATAACTGCTAACAAAAGCTATGACAAGTAATAGACTTAGTCATGATCAGAAACAATAATGTTCTATGTTTTCATCATCACAAGGAAGAAATCACAAGTAAAAAATAACTTAAGAAACTTAAGACGAAGTAAATAGCCAGAGAACAGCTCCTTTTGCCAAAATATACATGTCACCTATTTCTTTTACTGCAATGGAAGTAAATTTATTTAAAACTTTTAAAAATTTAAATTATATTCCCATTGAAGCTATTCTAATTTAACTTCTGTACAGTTTTCTACAGAATAACAAGATAATTATGGAATGTAGTTTTAGAAAATATTCTTTTGAAAGTAGATCCATTTTTTAAAAAAATCAGCCATCTGTGAACTAAGGGTTAAGCAAAAGAGCTGAATGGACCTATGGTTAATATTTTTTCAGGACTGCAATAAAGCTCATATGCTTAAAAATTAGCCCTTTGGCACTGGCAGTTAGAGTTGTTTGTACCTTGTACCTTTTTGTCTTTCTTTCAAATCTCAGGCTCTATTTCTCCCAAACCCAAGGGATATGTTTGGTTGCCATACAATTAATTTACCTGCAAATTCACATTCTCCTTACAACCAAACATTAAAAGTTCCACTTATAAGACTATGTAAATAATAACTCTTAAACTTGTTCTCCCATTCTGGTTTTAAATTACTTTAGATTAAGGATATATGAAATTCTACAGAAAGATGTGAATTACACAAATATACACAACAGAGTAAAGGGAAAAGCTGTTTATAAAGTGGCATTTTAGTTATAAAATACCCTTGTGATTTACAGGAATGGACAGAAGAAAGTAAGTGTAAGGTAAAGAAAAGAACAGATTTAATGGAATTCAAGTAATCAAAAAACTGAGGGTTTTTTAAAACTTGTTTTTAACTTCCTCCTCCTCCCATTCATACCAACTCTCCTGACGAGTTTTACCTTTTCTTCTGTACTTTTGATAGAGCAGTTCTCAGTGGTGAAATGGTAAAGTCAAGACACATAACAAATAAGGCAAAGAATCAAGGTTCTCAAGAAACCAACCAACCAGAAAATTTAGATCCTGAATAACTGAGTTTTACTGATTGAGAAGCCACAATGTACTAATTCCAAGTAAATTAGTTTTGGATGGAGAAGGTACCAAAATTCATCAGTGCTACCAGCTGAAACCTGACAGACTTATTCAAATGTTTGAATTTATCTAATTTGCCTAAATACATCTCCATTTTAAACTTCACAGGACATAATTTTAATTATTTGCATGTTTTAAAGGTGCATGAGTATAAGAAGTCCTTTCAAAAGATTTATTGCTACCACTAGGTTTCCTCTGATGGTATACGTCCGAACAAACTGACATTATTAAACCTTCTAAACTGTATCCTCTTTACAAATATTTAAACTTTTTTCTCCCTATAATACGTATAGGAACATTAAATTATTGCATCATAGGTAGTATATGAAGATCTTAGAAGGATGCTTTTTATCAATACTGTTTGCAGAAACTCATTTTTAAAAAGAGCTGCTCCTCAATTTCACTACCACAGACACAAACAGGAAATACTGTTGTCAGGTGATACCAGCAGTGACTGTATTGAGATGAGCCAAAATCCAAAACTGTATGGATTTTTCAAAGATCCCTGTTGTTTATATGCTTCAAAGCTCTCCTGGCCTGTCTTCCCCACTGTGTGGAATGCTGGAGGAAAACCAGCAAAATCTGTAAGCAACGTATCTCAGTGCCAACCACCATAAAGAAAATGTCAGTCGCAAGATTCTGTGACTACAGATTGCTATTCAATGGATTACACTCCTGGCAAACTACTAACCCTGACCAATTCCACAAGACAACAACATCACAAAAGCAAAGGAGGAAATCCATGCACAGTCATTTTAGGACCTCTTGGAACTATGATACAGTGATGATAAAGGGAGATCATGGGATAAGTATTTTGTAGAAAACCAAAGGGGCTCCTTACTCCTAGCTAGCAATCAACACTGGGTAGTTTCCTTTTGGCTCACTGACTTTTCAACCAAGTTCCAATGATGGGTGAGAACATATTAAAGCACTTGTCTCCAGACTATAATTTTTCTGACCACATGGTGAAATGTGTATAGTGAAGAAAACAGCAGTTTACAAGTATTTCACCCAAAGCACAAACTTCTGACATCAAAAAACATAAATCACATAATGTACTAATATTTAATATTGCTTTTTATCTCTTGTTATATATTTGTTCAATGCATTTACCTATCAATTCTTGTTTGGGAGAAGAACATAGTCATGAGATTAAGATTGCTGGGAAAATGTCAACAATCCCTTTGGTCCCAAAGCTGAAAACAGCTGAGAAAAGCACACACCTAGAAAGGGAAACAAGAAACAAGGGGCCACCAAAGAATCTTTGAACATCCTGTTTGCTCCGTTTCAGAAAATGTAACATTGGTATTATAAAATAGTCATTTTCATATAAAAGATGGTTCTTGCAGCATCATTCATGTCTCCCTTCAGGAATTATGTTTGCAGGGATCAGTTGTTTGTTTTTTTTAAGAAGTTTAATTTGAAAACAAAAAACGATGTGATATTGGCCCTCCAAAACTAAATAATGAGACCTTTCTTGTTTCAACCGGTGCTTTAAGAAAAAGCAGGCTAAGCAATGAGGACTGGCCTTCATGAGTGAGCAAAGCCATCAGAGGGCGCTGCCTTCTTCCAGAAGTCACACTGTGACTCGTCACCGCAGAAAGCTGGAGCACTTCACAGCCAACTGGGAGTGTGTGATGCCTTCACAATGAAATGATCTGAGGAGGTTCTCAGTTGCCCAGAAAAACGGCCACACCGCCCTGTGACCTATCCTTCAGCTTCCTCAATGGGTTCTGGTGGTGGGAGTAGAGAGGCTGATGGCATGACTGTACTCGTTCCTCGAGAGACTCGGTCTTGCTCTGTGTTTGTAGACAGGGAAGCCACAGCAATAGGCTGCAGCAGAGTGGTGGTCATACCAGTGGTAACTGTCAGACTGTGACCAGAGCCCTTGAGGGTGAGATCTGGTGTGGGAAGGAGTGGCTTGAGGATGCTGACGAGGCAGAAGGCAGAACCGCTTTTAGGAATGAAATTCACTTTGTTTTTGTCAGGACAGTAAAAGGCTGGGATTTCATGGAGTTGTTTTGGCCTAGGCACAGAACAGACAACCCGGTAGTTTTAAGTCACAGATCACCGGAAGTAAGTTCTTTTATTATTTTTTTTTCTAAACAGATATGTTATAGATACATGAATACAAAACTCAAATTATATCAAAAGCTTCAAATGCTATGGGCCCAAGTGGAATGAAACACATAATTCAAAAAATGTATCTTAGAATGCCAAAAGGACATCATTCATCTTTGCTGCTTTCAATTCCCTGGAAAGCCCGGTACACCACACAGGGGACTCAGGCTGATGACCACTGCATCTCAATGAAGATCTAAGACAGCCATTAGGAATAAAGAATTTCCTAAAGCAAAAGAAATTCTAGATGTTTAAAGACAAAAATTTGTTCCACTACTACAATTTTTCCAAAGCCTATACTATCTTGAAAGGAATGACATACAATATCCATCTTTGCTAAATTCCACCAGTGCACGACTAAACTTTGGCAGGCATGAGTTTTCTCTTCAAGTGTGCTTAAAAATCTCTTGGACTGAAAGAAATTTTTTGAATTAACCATGATGGTTTTCTGAGAAACATAATGGAAATGTAAAATCAAAATAAAACTAATCACTGTCCCTTCCTGTCCCCAGGTACTCCTGAAAATTAACTCAAATGTTTGGAAATGGATACTAGTATTAATGGTATTCTATGAAACTAAAGATATTAAAAAATTAAATTGTTAAAGTAACATGGAAGTGCCACAAAATTAAAAAGAAATTAAGGTGGGAGAACCTAAGTAAATCAAGATTCAGGTAGGAAAAGGTAATATGATCATATGATAAAAGTATGGTTCTCATGTCTCCTAATGAAATTTAAAAAATTAAAATTCAAGTGTGCCAAGTCTGCACTGGATAGATTCTGGGGACCCAAAAATGAAACAATCTACAAGGAGAGAGATTAAATATGTAGTTCTTGGGGGGAGGGAGATACTGAGAATAGAACTGTATTTCAATATAATTAATCCCATTTGTAATCTTACATGTTTTCTGCATTTAAAACATTATTCAGAGAAGTTATGAATTACTTCAAGCATCCCTAATCTTGGTGACACTGCCAAAGGTGCCCAGAGCACAAAAAAAGGTCAAGAACTCCTATCAAAGGTCTGACAGATGTGATAAAAATGGCTTATAAAAGGTTTAAAAATAGCACAGGGGAGTGGATAACCTGTGGCACAGAGGAAGAGGGAGAATTTGGTAGAAAGAAGGCTTACAAGGGAAGTAACATCTGAGCTGGGTTGTAAAAAATTAATAAACAGGGGCACCTGGGTGGCTCAGTCGGTTAAGCATCTGCCTTTGGCCCAGGTCACGATCCCAGGGTCCTGGGAGCACGTCCCACATGGAGCTCCTTGCTCAGTGGGGAGTCTGCTTCTCCCTCTGCCTGCCAATACCCCTGCTTGTGCTAACAAATGAATAAATAAAATCTTAAAATAAAAAAGAAATGAATAAACAACAGACCTGGGGAATGGGAATGGTGCCCCCCGCCCAAAAAAGCTCCAAGTAGACAATGTTTTTGGTGGGCAGATTTTATTAATAGTGAGTACTACCCAAGGACAGCTTTGACAAATACAATAATTTAAGAACAAAGAAATCATTTAACTGATGTTTTACTTGTGCACTGTTCCAATATACAATGGAAACATCAAGTACTTTTAGGGCTACAAGTGTATTTGGGTAGATTAGTGATAAGAAGGGCACACATTCCTCTATTTTTACTATATGAGAGTATGGTTTTCAATTCCTTAAAGAAGATAGGAGGTCGAGGTTAGGTTTCTATAATTAGAAAATGCTTGAATTTTCTTCTGAAGGTGCAATTATTAGAAATAACTTTCATTTTTAGGGAAAAAAGGCCAATCCTCCTTAATTAATTTTTGGGGGGTTATCTTGTTAAAAATTACTTAATTTCCTTACTGCTTTCATTAAAATAGATCTCACACAAAATAATATAAACAGTAATAAGTAACTAGCACCAAGATCAAACAAAACTTAAGTAACAGTAAAAAACACCAACCTCCCCCCCAAAAAACCCCCCCAAAAAACAAAAAACCTTCCTTAATGTCTCGTCTTCCAGTGGCCACCCCAACCTAGCAAGAGGAATCACTCCTAATCCCTAACATTTTTCTAGATGCATACTACCCAAGAAACATATTAACCACCACTGGAGTGGAAGATCGGTATATACTTATGTTAATTGAAGCTGCAAGAACTAATACTACTTCAAAGCTTTCTTCAACTTAATAACCATAAATAGAAAAAAAAACTCAGAATTTTAAATTTTTATTTTTCCTGAAGAAATTATTCCAAAAGGATTGTGTCTCAAAGTGGATATAACTGTTTGCAAGCTAACTTTCTGAAAAACTGATGGATGGGCTGCATAGTAATTCTAGGTATTCTTATACTGATGCAAAGAATTCTTTCCTGTCTTTTTTTAAAGGCTTGTGTATTTTTTTTAATGCAGGCATAAATTATCAGCCAAGAAAATGGTGGGTCCAAGTTACTTATAATCGAAAGGAGGGAGACAAGGAGGGTCATGTTATATTTTTAATAATACCTCTATACTGCAAAGAGGCCATAATATCTAGGACTCTAAGGTAACTGAGGCCAAGGAATTCATTAGTTTGGAGGAAGAAATAACATATTTGACTTTCTTTAAAAAAGGACTAAGTACAAACGATATGGCTATGGTATGTACTGTATCACAAAGAATATAGAGACTGAAAGTACAAAATGTGGTTTAAATTCTGGGTCTAAATTCAACCACCTATTTTCTTTCAGGTAAATAAACGTGCATTTCTAGAAACCAGAGATCAACCCTCACCCCACTCCAATCTCCAGGTCAGGTCAGAGTTACTGCTTTTAGACCAGAAGAGTTAAAAATATTCTAGAAGAATGATTAGATAAGCCTAAAATTTTTAATTAGGACCAATAATCTATGTGTGTTTGTTGCTAGTGTACCCAGTGGGTTTTGCTCTCATTTTGACAGAGGTAGGGCAAAAGAGACTAATTTTTTTAGACCTTAAATAATTTGTTTTATTGGCAGAAAGTTAAAATTACTTCTAAGGAATCCATTCTTGGGTTACTGCTGTTCATTTGTTTTTGAAACATAATGAAAATGCTTAAAAAAGAGTAAGTTTTTGTATGCTACACATCCTATATATCAGTATAATGTATAACAAACTATGTATATTTTATTTTTGTTTTAAAGATTTTATTTATTTGACAGAGAGACACAGCCAGAGAGGGAATACAAGCAGGGGGAGTGGGAGAGGGAGAAGCAGGCTCCCGGCCGAGCAGGGAGCCGGATGCAGGGCTCGATCCCAGGACCCTGGGATCATGACCTGAGCCAAAGGCAGACACTTAATGACTGAGCCACCCAGGCGCCCCTAACTATGTACATTTTAAAAAGAGTAAGTTTACCTTCTAATAACAGATGGATATGCCATGTGAGATGTTAGGGTTTACCTTCTATTTCTTTGATCTAGCTATCCCCATCCATATACACACACAACTCTATCCATTTTTCCCTCCCTTTAGATACAAATAATGTAGCAGTATATACATAGTTCAGACATTAAGTCCTGAGGAATTTTCCAAATGCAAGAGTTTAAGGCAGATACCACAGGACACCAACCTATACAACAAATATTCACTCAAAGTCATTTATAAAAGGAATTCAAACTGCTTTTGAGCGAATCAACGATTTCTCTGCATTTGGACAATCTTTTTTTTTAAAGATTTTATTTATTTATTCAGAGAAAGAGAGTGAGCACACAAGCACGAGCGGGGGGGCGGAGGGGGCAGAGGGAGAGAGAATCCCAAGCAGACTCCGTGCTGAGTGTGAGCCCCATATGGGGCTTGACCCCAAGACCCAGAGATCATGACCTCAGTTGAAATCAAGAGTCGGGTGCTTAACTGACTGAACTACCCAGGCACCCCCGCATTTGGGCAATTTTAACTACCAATGAGTAAATCAATGAGCTCAACTCCAAAAAGGTCCATTTAGACCATTTGATTTTTACTTAGTAGAATGATTCCACGTCTTAAGAACTCTCATGGAAAAGTCCAAGCCAGCATCTGCAAATTGGGCATAAAAAATATGAGGTATTTGTTAGAGATGCATAGTCCAGGTCCTACCTCCATATTTATGCATTAGGCCTGGGATGGGAGCTGGGAATCTGCAGTTCCAACTCATACCCCAGATGATGATGATTCAGGGAGTCCGTGGAACAGATGTGGAGAAATTCCGCTTGTACCAGTCAAGCTTTTAGACTAACATAGTAGGCATGGGGGGGGGGGGGGGGGAAGCAGTTGCTAAAACGGAGTTTTCAATTACTGTCACAAAAGCAGATAGGAGACTGACATCTGGGATTTCCTAGTATAGAAATTAAGGGAATTCAAAAACAATGCTCTTTGTGTGGCAAAATTATTCAGAATTCAGGTTAAAGGAAACACTGACAGGAGGAACACACAGAAGAACAAAAGGATGTCATATTTCAAAACGATTCCAAGACGTTCATAAAGGAGGAAAAAGATCAATGACGTGAGTCAGACAAGGCTGGACAATCTTCACATTGTGTTTCAGGTTTCACAAGCGAGAAAAAGCCAGAAGGTGACTCTTAAGATGTGCAGCCATAATGAGACTGGAAGGGGAGGGCTCAGTACTACCATCACACCCCCAAATAATGTTCATTACCTCATCTGCTATCTCACACATACCTACAATCCTGTAGCCATCACTTACAAAGCCAGGAGGCATGGCTACTGAAAATACTAAGGCTAATTCTGAGCAAATTTTGAGTCTAAAATTATAGTACTTCCCTAGAGTACCAGTCAGCAGAAATATGAGCAAAGGAGATCACATACCAACAGTACTAGACACTATTTAAAATCCTGCTTCTTACATTATCTTCATCACAGTAACCTGATTCTACAAAGTTGCAGAATTCTATTTCCAATACGGACAAAATACTTCTAATACCGTTTAAAGAACTAAAGACCAAAAGTACATAAAATCTGAAGGGAATTCAATCCGTGAAAGAAGGAAACCACACTAGGTGAGATCCATGGTCTACCTTGAATAAAAATACTGCTAAATTCAATGTGTGAAGTTGACTGTATACAGATTCAAAAATAACAGCCACAGAGGACACATTGGGGACAAGGGAGGAAACGTGAAAAACAACTGGATATTAGTTGATATTAAGCATTGCTGTTAATTTTCTTTGGTGTGATAATGATTTTGTGGTTATATAGGAGTACTATGGTTACTTTTAGGAAACAAATATTAAATTGTAGTTACGGTTAAGTGTCACGATGTCTGCAACTTATTTCCACACACTTCAGCAAAAACTACCACCACCATGCACAGACAAAGCACATATTAACAGAAAGTTAACTACGGAATCCAGGTTGTGTATATATAGGAGTGATCACTGTACTCCAACTTACTTGAAAATTCTCATAATAAAAGTTATTTCAGGGGATACTTACGAGCATTCCTCAAAGACTTTGACTCTTTCACAGCCCTCAGGAGGTTCCCTTTTGAACATATAACTGTTGTTAGGTTTTGGTGAGGTTGCATATTTGGGCAAAGGAGAGTTGTTCCCATTCTCTGCAAAAAATGGCATGCTGGATTACTAAGAAATACTACCACATAAATGCAGTCATACTAAATTTTTTATTTATTTATTTTTTTTTTATTTATTTATTTGACAGAGAGAGACACAGCGAGAGAGGGAACACAAGCAGAGGGAGTAGCAGGCTTCCTGTGGAGCAGGGAGCCCGATGCGGGGCTCGATCCCAGGACCCTGGGATCATGACCTGGGCCGAAGGCAGACGCTTAACGACTGAGCCACCCAGGCGCCCAGTCATACTAAATTTTAATTGTACATGGCCTCCCCCAACACCACGAACTACTTGAGGGTAAGAACAGTGCGTTACTCATCAACACCACCCCCCAAGATCTGGCACAATACCTGCTAAAGAGCAGATAATTAATGTTTGCTAAATAAATGCATAAACAAAAAAATTTTATTTCTTTTCCACTTGCAATTACTACAGCTTAGGCCTATCTCACTTAATTCATGGCACTTAACACTGATATCTTGCTCCCTTCTTTCTTTTTTTTTTTTTTAAAGATTTTATTTATTTATTTTACAGGGAGACACACAGCGAGAGAGGGAACACAAGCACGGGCGTGGGAGAGGGAGAAGCAGGCTCCCCACTGAGCAGGGAGCCTGATGCAGGGCTCGATCCCAGGACCCTGGGATCATGACCTGAACCGAAGGCAGACGCTTAACGACTGAGCCACCCAGGCGCCCCTTGCTCCCTTATTTCTGATATATACCCAGCAATCAGACTCAAATGCCAGTTCCTTTCTTCCCAGTAAATGTAACTGAGATGGCTCTTCACTGGTTGCTTATCATTTACTCCCGGCCCACCCTTCAGAATTTCTCAATTTGATTTCTCTGCTCCTCTAAGTTACAATCTTTGCTCCAGCGGTCAGGAGCCATCTTGCACTGTACGCCAAAGGCTTCTCCTTACTTAAGAGGTCCATCTCTATTCATTTGCCAAAACTTCCTTCAAAGTCTAGCTCGAAGTTTTGACTTTCCAAAATCACCCTATCAAAGCAAATACTTCTTTAACTCTGGCATTCCTGTTCAGTGTTGATATCCTCAGTTTCTACTACATTAACTTAAAATTCCTGATATGTTACCTAAGTGTTCTAAATTTTCAGTCTGTGTCAACTAAGCTACAAATTGTCTTTGCGGGCAGTAGCACTGTAGCCCTGTTTTCTTATAAAAGAAATTCAGAGAAGCTAACCAGTCACCAGTCTCCTAAAGTCAAATAAAGCATTACACAAAATTCACAGAGTTCCAACTTGTTACTGAAGTAAAAGTAGAAAGTATGGGAAACAAGGGGCAGATTTTAACAGCCATGTTTTTTTAAAGGGGGGGGGCAGTGTTACATTTGATTGAGCACTAAGTACCAGGAGCTGTGCTAAAAGGTTTGCATTTACCATTCCTTTTAATCCTAACAATAAGTAGTAGTTAATTATGCTGATTCCTGATAAGAAACACACAGCCCAACCAAAGGATTTAATTCTGTGAGTGTCCGACCTCGGTGCACACCGGAATCACCTGAGAGCATTAAAAACTATTGGTACCTGTATCCAACCCCCCAGGGGTTGTGATTTATTTGGTGGAGGGTGTTGGAATAGCTATATTTTACTTAACCTAGAAGCTGGTAAAAAAGGGTTCCAATAATAACATTTACAACTGCCCACAGCTTTAACTGACTTCTTCAGGAAATCTTACATTCTTTTCAGTTGTTACAGTCTCAATAATTTAGATGATTGATGGTAATGACCAATTGTAACTTTTTAGGACATTCAACACACTTGTGAGTAGTAGGTTCTCAATAAGTTACTACTAAACTGAGCTGAATTTACGAATGTATTATTGCTCTCAAGTACACAGAGTAACCTGAATTAGGCTAACAAAATATTGTCCTGATATAGACAAATGACAGGTCATGTTTGTTTTAAAAGTCAAGAACATTAGTAATTAATATTCAAACAGCTTAAGTCTCCAAATTATCTTTTAAGTTGCATAGGTAGTTTAGTACTGTAAGTAAGCCTTCCAACCTTTTACTATATAGGCTTGCCTTCAATACTCATCTTGCATTAACATAAATCAGCTTAATTCTTGTTAGAAATTTCACAAGAAGTGATTCTAAAAAACATTAATTTGAAGGTTTCAAGTTCAATTAAAAATACTAAGGTAGTAAAAACAAGACAACTAAGGTGAAAGAGAACAAAGTGCTTTTCAAGATAAATGTTCATTTATACCAAAAAGAATGTTTCTCACTAATAAGGAACTTGCATTAACAAGTGAAGAAAAAGGAAAAAAAAAGGTACAAACAGAAGTCCATAAATCCACACTAGACCATCACTTGAGCACTATAGTAAAACTTACTGTTTTGTACTTCAATTTTTAAAAATCTATGTTAAGAACGTATGTCAAAGTAATTACCTTAGTTGTCTTAAGTGTGTGTGTTCTACTACAAAATGAACAGAATGAACAATACAATAGGTGGTGCTGTGCTCATTTCTCTGGTAACAGACTCCCCCCGCATTGTACCTTTATCCCTGGGATCAACAAGCAGGTCATCAGCTGAACAAGGGCTCTCTTCGCTACCTTCATTTGAGATGGTGAGGAATGATGTGGGGGACACAGACTGAGAGCGGCTGCTATTGTTGCTCCCCCTGTCTGCCCCACCAGGGGTCTGCGTGTCGATGCTGCGTGTGCTGCTACTTCTCTGGACGAGGGGGGGAGGTGCACGATGGCCATCTGGAATATCTTGTGGCTGTGATAAAATTTTAAAAACATACGTGTATTTATCATCGATTTCAAAATTCACCAGAAAAGCACCCAAAATCAACCTTCCCCTACTGTGCCAGATGACTCACAGATCAGAAATGCCCCATTAGGCCTGACGAGAAAAAAGCCTTTGTGTTGCTCCGTAAGTGACATCCCTGTCTAATATGACTGCCCTGCCAAACAATGAGCAGCATATGCAAAGACCCTGTATTCCCAGGGTTAGGCCCAAGACAGGTGGTCAATGCTCACTGAGTGATCAATTGTAATGAATTGGTTATCATGTGATAACTATTTTTAAGCTTGTAAAGAACTGCCACGGCAAAAGAGAAAAGAGGAGAAATCTAGGTATAACCCTAAGTTCCATATCAGAAGAGAAGGTTATCCATTGTGTGAACCAGTGATACTTGATGACAGGTCCTGTTACTTTCTCCCTCTGCCCACATACATCCCCCTGAAAGAGTTTTTCCAAAGAAACCTTCCTTAATAAGGGAAAGGTTAATGGTAGCAATGGTAATTATAAGGGGAAATCAAGAACATTCAGAGGAAATCTTGTGTGGCTCACTTGGCAGGAAAACCAGCTCCCTGTACACCTTTGGTTCATTTACCTTTATGACATCAGGAGGTTACTCCCATCCTGCAGGATGGACAAGACAAGAGGGTATGGGAGCTGTGTTTTTCTAAGCTAAACCAACCTTTAATCTTCATGGAGAGGATATCTTAAGCATCAATAACTACTTAAACTCCCCAATTCCTCTTTCACTGAAGAATGAAAGCTTAAATATACTCTGTGACATGCTTTTAAATATAAAAAGGAATTTTCTGTGTCTTACATAGGAATCATTCTTATATCTGATATGTTTTTGTTTTTTTTTTTTAAGATTTTATTTGAGAGAGAGAGGCAGAGGGAGAGGGAGAAGCAGGCTTCTCATCAAGAAGGCAGCTGGATGCAGGGCTCAATCCCAGGACCCGGGATCCTGACCTGAGCCGAAGGCAGACACTTAACAACTGAGCCTCCCAGGTGCCCGGTGTCTTATGTGTATTAAAGGTAAGCAGAACTACACTTCATGATCATAAAGCGAACCAATCAAACAATAAGGAACAGGAAGATTCATGCTTAGAAAGTATTTGAAGTCATATCCCTCCCTCCCAAAAAATTTGGAATCTAAACTTTTGTTACATGGAGTTATAGCAAATGAGAAGTGTATCACCTGTCTAGTGATTTTTAAATATGTATAAACAAAAAGTAGTTTCTGTTCAAGGACCTAAATTTAAGTCATATCAGTTGTGTCTATGAGATGCAAAGAAATGACAACTTTTCATTCACTTGCTAAGATAAAAGTTTTTCAAGAGAGACATATTTTCATTGTCTCTCAACGAGGAAGGAACATAAGTAAATATGGAAACTGAAATTGTAACTTTTTAAATAATTAGAATAGTTAATCTGTAAGGACAATTTTAAGATACAGAATTACTTACTATAAGTTGTTCTTCCTTTTCCCCAGTCTCTTTAATGATTATTTCAATCTCCTGATTCAATCCTTCCACACTATTCCGGAACCGGGAGCCTGTTGATTTGGTGATGGGAATTACTGGAATAAGTGCACTCTTTGGAACAGGAGCCTGAAGAAAAAGCAGTGGAGGAGGGAGAAGAAAGCTTTAATATGTTTCCTTTAAATTCTCTAGTTTGAAGCATACTTCCCATTGACATGCATAACTAAAATAAATCAAAATTAAGTTTACAGGCCTCACAAAAAGTGTGAGTAACCATCAAACATGCTCTTTGGTATACACAAAATATAATTTAAAGCCAAAACTCCAGACAATCAAGGTAGAATTTAGAAGTTTATTCACATCTATGAGGACTGTAAAGAGAGGAATACTAAATGGATAAAGGGAAATACTAAAAGAATGTCAGTATCAAAAATTCTTTTATGACTGTAATAGAGTTCAGATTTTAGAACATAACTTAAAAGTCCTCCAGTGTCACAATTATCTACAGTCCAGGGAAAAAGTTTTTTGGTTTTTTTAAAGGTTTTATTTATTTATTTGACAGAGAGAGACATAGCGAGAGAGGAAACACAAGCAGGGGGAGTGGGAGAGGGAGAAGCAGGCTTCCCGCCGAGCAGGGAGACCGGTGCAGGGGAAAAAGTTCTTTCTCCCCGGGAGAAAGTTTTTTAAAAGGTGATTTATCAGAAAAAAATATTTTGGGGGCGCCTGGGTGGCTTAGTCATTAAGTGTCTGCCTTCAGCTCAGGTCATGATCCCAGGGTCCTGCGATGGAGCCCCACACAGGGCTCCCTGCTCAGCAGGAAGCCTGCTTCTCCCTCTCCCACTCCCCCTGCTTGTGTTCTTGCTCTCGCTCTGTCAAACAAACAAACAAATAAATAAATAAAGTCTTAAAAAACAGAAAAAATATTTTGGTTAGAAAAAACAAAATCAGTCTCAAAGTCCACATATAGCAGCAAGATTGTAGAAATGAGCATAACTTCCCTGTGATGATTTTAATATGTTAAGGGAAAAAAAGATATAATTCATTTTCCTCTTTTTCCACTGGCACAGCATTACTTTTGAAAAGAAATAACTGATTACATAATCAAAGGATAAAACATGATTTCCTGACAAGATAGCTCAAAGTAAAATATGAAACAAGAATGATAGAGTTATCTGCTAAAGTTAATAGCAACAGCGTGCCAGAAGATCATCGCACTTACTGTCCTGCTATCTAGTAAAGAAATGTGATTCTTCATTTAGGGGGGGTTTCTTTGAAAAACCTCTTTCAGGGGAAGGTGGGCAAGGAGACAAAGGTAACAGGGCTGCCAAGCATCACTAGTTTCCATTCAGTGGATACAACCCTGTTGTATGATATAGAAACTTCGTGTTAAACCTGTATTTCTCCTCTTCTATAAATAAAAATATTTATTTATTGTAATATAATAAAATAAATTAAAATAAATTAAAAATTTTATAAATAATTTTTATAAATTAAAATTTATAAATAAAATTTTATAAATAAAATTTATAAATATTTATAAATAAAAATTTATAAATAAAACTTCTAAAAATAAGCATAACACAACAATCTTTAGAAAAGGCAAATTTCCATCCTTGGAAAGTTTGTGAGGAAAAAAGCCAAGAGGAAGCTTCAATCTGGAGTGGACAGAAAGAAGAGATGGAAGTGCAAAGGGAATAGTAACATGGGAAGCTTGAGGGTATGGAAAGAATATTGGGGAACAGAGGGACTAAAAAGGGGGAAAATGAAAAGATACTACTAGAAGAAAATAATACCTGAAAAAGACTGTGAAAAGACAAGAAATTATTTTAAGAATAAAATACCTAAGAGGGAAGACACAAAATACGTTGTAGCTACCATTTATAGAGCATCCATCCACCATGGGCCAAACACCACAGGTCCTCTGTCATTTTCAGAACCACTCTCTGAGGTGGATGCAGTGTTCCCCAGGTTACATGCAGAGAAAGTGAGACTCAGGGGCCCAAGAATAATGAAGCAATGTTGCCTCTTAGGCATCTCCTTATCGCCACCGCCTAAAAGAGTCTAGATCAGACGTGAGGCTTATTCAACAAGGCTGGTGCTATGAACAATGTCTGCGTCCCCTTTTAAAAATCTCTAACCCCAACGCGGCTATTATTTGGAGCTGGGGGCTGTAAGGAAGTAATTAAGGTTACAGAAGAATGGGGACCTGATCCCATATAAGAAAGGAAACCGTGAGGTGACAGGAAATGGATTCAGGCTAAAGCAGTTAGAGGTTAAAAGAAATCTACAGCTCATGAGCCTGTAGTGGAGAGCATATTAGAACATTTCTGTCATGTACTCATCCTACCTATGCCTGAACTCTCCCCGTGTCAGGAAATAATGGCAGACCAAGAAAGATCTCAGGACTTAGTACATATTTAACAAGTAAGTTTTTTTTTTTTTCAACTCTAAGCTTAATTTCCTTTTCTGAATGTCACAAAAAAAGTAATAGCTTGCACTGGATGCCATTTTCAGATATGGCATTTGGTTTATAACTGTTAAGTTACTGAAATGAAGGAGACCAGAAGGGAAGGATGCTCTGACAAGGTTTTTGCAAAATGTTGACCTTCTTGGATTTAGAACCATAAGTATTTTCAGAACAGAAAGCTTAAGTTTTCTGGCTATTATGTTGGGAAACGTACATACACAGAAACCTGCCAGTATCATAACCAACTGTACATCTAGTTACTGCTTGTCAAGGTAGCTAAGAAGTCATGCCCTACACAGCTGGTAGGCTTTTCTCAAATATCATCTAAAGAGCAGCAAGTATTTAACAATAGTTTAGTCTATTTAAAGCAAAGGAAAGAAAAGAAGGAAAAGAAAGAAAACTGCCACTTCCCTAAGGTCAACAGAGCATTTTAAGTAAATGAAGCAAAGGTTCAACTATAATTAATTTAACTAGTTATATAATTAGAAGAAAAGTAATCCACTCAAGCTGCCTAGGAAAGATTTTCTTCATTAAACACACTATTACTGTTCCAGAAGTAGAAGGTAACAGGCTTCTGATTTCATTCCTCACATAAACCATACTCTAAAATATCTAAAAATTAAAAAAAAATAAATAAAAAAAATCTAAAAATTTTAAAAAAATGATTATACTTAAACTTTCATGCTTCATTTCAAGGACTCTTAGGGAATTTTATGTGCATGTGTGTATAATTTATTTTTCCCATATCTATACATGTTTCTGTAATATAATTTGTATTTCTAAATATAAATCAGTATATGCAACTATAAGTGAGTTATCATAATAACAGAGATCATCTTTTTTTTTAATTTTTTATTGTTATGTTAATCACCATATATTACATCATTAGTTTTTGATGCAGTGTTCCATGATTCATTGTTTGTTCATAACACCCAGTGCACCATGCAAAACGTGCCCTCCTCAATACCCATCACCAGGCTAACCCAACCCCCCTCCCCCCTACCCTCTAGAACCCTCAGTTTGTTTTTCAGAGTCCATCATCTCTAACAGAGATCATCTTTAGACAGCACTGAAAGATTAAAAGTTCTTCACTGTATTAAGGTAAATCTCTCTTCTAAGATCTATCCTTTGGAAACATCAAGAACAGGACCTCCTATTTTCTCAACTTTTGTTTCTTTCTCTTCAAATCAGAATATTTTCCAATCAATTAAGGGTTTTAATTAATCTCCATTATAAGGATTTATTTTTCCATTTTCACTCTCTGTATGTCTATATACATTACTGTTCAAAGATCAAATTCTGCCTGGGGCCCCTGGGTGGCTCAGTCGTTAAGCGTCTGCCCTTGGCTTGGGTCATGATCCCAGGGGCCTGGGATGGAGCCCCACATTGGGCTCCTTGGTCAGCAGGGAGTCAGCTTGTCCCTCTGCCTCTGTTCCCCTCAACTCATTTTCTCGCGCGCGCACGCGCTCTAATAAATAAATAAAATCTTGAAAAATAGAACAAGATCAAATTCTGTCTAAAAACTGAGAGTTAGCCAATAAAGAAAGAAAAGATCACCCAAAGGTTTGGCCACTACTGAATCTTCTAAGATCAATCTATATTACAACTTAAATACCTGTTTCAAAGTGTGGAGGTAAGACTGTGCACAATAGAGAGATAGGAAAGATGGGAAGAATACCCACTCAAGCAGTAGCTGAATAGGGAAAAGAAATACAGAGTTAAATTTTCAAAGGAAGAAAAATGTGCCTTGAGAGGCAAGTAGGATAGAAAAAGATCTGGTCAGCAATTCAACATAGATCTAGGAGAGAAATATGTGCCAGAATATAACAAATATGAGCCCAACATAACAAAAGGGAGGGGAAAACTGACGTCTACAATGGCAAAAAAAAAAGAAAAAAAATTTAGAACACATCAGGGCTTCTGAGTGGCCCTGATCCCTCTTGCCCTGTCCCCATTACTTTCGTTCTGTCCTCCAGCAGTCACTGTTCTCAGCTGGTATCCGCCTTAGTTCTTCTAAGCTGCAGTGGTACTCTTTAATAAAGGACGTGGCAGAAGTCCCTACTCTTTTGATTTCTAAGTGGTAAGATCTTTAAAAATTTAAGAACAGCAATCACTTCCCGGCATATGAAGATTCCAGTGCAGAGCAGCAATTTCATTTTTAAGGTGCAATGCCCCTGATTCCTCAGATGAAAATAAGTTTTTTCCTCTTCTACATTTCCATCCATCCTCTTCTACATTTCACCATCCCTTTGCTCTCAAACCCACCTAGGCTGCTACAAAACTATAGTGTCCACAGCCCGTATAAAGTAAGAAAATCCTAGGGGAGGCCTTTCTTGCTTGAGGCTGTTAACAAACAGCCAGAAAACACCTGCATGATATTTTAATTCTCACCTCTAAATTATTTTATGTGGCTGTGAAGATGCCAGCATCTCCCACTCCTCTAACATCTGATTCTAATCCCTAAACAATTCTGAAATGTGTTGGCTATATTTTCTAATGAGAGTATTTCTTGAAATACTCCTTAAAAATATGACATTTTAAGCATCTGAGGGCTTTGTCAATTTTGGAAACCAATGAAATGTGAAAGATTCTCTTCTAAGAAACTTGGCAGCATTTATTCCGCATAACAAATAATTCCCCCCCTGATTTTCCAGGGAAAGAA